TCATATACTTTAGAGTCTCCCCCCAATCATATATGAAATATAAGTGAAATATACAACAGTGCAAGTCCAAATGATATTAGTCCTTTTCTTTCTTCTGTCTTCCTTGGTTTACCTTGTTTTGCTTTCCCTCTTATCACCTTTAATTTCAGTACATTATGAACTTGAGTCTATATCACGTGATTGGAGAAGCGGATAACCTTATTTTCTGTAAAGAAAGGCTTCAAAATATTCTTTCTTTTTCTTTTTCTATCATTCCAAGTTCTCCAGTTCTGCAATTCCTTAGCTCCGTATTTTCCTAGTAGCCTCCACACTTCAACACTTCACCGGAAATTGCCACCCGTCACTATCCTTCCACCTCTACTTCTCTCCTCTTGGAAACAGATTGTGCTTTGTCAGCTTAATGAGAGAATAAAACAATGGTAATTCCAGAGAAAGGGAAACAGAAAAAAAATAAACTGTAAGTAAATCCAGGTCAGCTTCAGTTCGCTTCTCTGACCCCCATCAAATCCTCGGTTTTCAATCTATTTCTGGATCATTGAGCGACCTTTCTTAGCCGCCTTAAAGGGGTATGCCCTATAGCTCAGTTCTGTTCTATGGATTTTATGGACATCCCTTTAAATATAATATTCGGTCTTTCCAATAAACAAGGAGAACCGAAAAAGAAAAAAAGGAGCAAGAAATGTTGCCTTTTCGCTGGTCAAATGAGTGCAGGGAACTACTTTCCTGACTCTCGCAGGTCCTCTAGACTCGGTGTAGTCTGAAGAGCATCCTCAGCAGCCTCCCACATTGGAGTAATCTCAATGGCGGAAGCAAGCCGCCACCCGTCTTTGTCCTCGGGACAAAGCTCCCTGTCAGAAGTCTCCCTACAGGAGATTTCTCCAGTGACATTGGCAAAAAGTCGCAGTAGGAGCCGGTAGGTACAGTGTTTGTGAGCTGGTAAGCGAGAAAGCTCCCATCTCACAGTCACTGTCGACAACCCCAGAACCGGAACATGCTTTCGTACTTCTTACAGATCCCACTTTTTCTGATGACATGAGCCCTTAGATCTCACAAGCACTTATGCCATAGTAAATTCATTGGTCTTTAAGGTGCTGTTACTGTAAGATCCTTTGTTACCTTGGCTGCCGTTAATACAGCTATCCCCTCTGAAATAATAGCATTTTGTCACAAGTTGCTCTGTCATTCATGTCCTTCTCTCTTCATATGTAATTGCTATTATGTTATTCATGGTGACAGTGTTTTTTAAGTAGTTCATCTCCACTGGCTGGTGTAATTCATAACCTTTTAGAAGCTTAGAGACAAACATATTTTGAAGGCTGCCG